ACAATACAAATAATATAATATTTCGAGAACACAGTCGATATTTTACAGTAAGAGCCTCCTAATTCCTCCTTTTCGTGAAAAACCAACTTGCTTCGTATTAAGTTATCGCGTATTCAATTCAGCTTTAACAGAACTTAAATGTGGCATTCAGCTCGCCGCCTAGCAACGATTAATATAAACGGTATCTAAACTCTTCGTTAGTGTGGCAACCTGTTAGATCAATCCTCAGTAGCGAATGCATTGCCTCAATACTTAGCAAGATCTGAATTTACTTTTTTTTTTACTAAAGATGCAAGACTAGAGTTACATTAAAGAAAAGAATTATGTTGAGTATTATTTTGATTATTAATTGGCAGAGAATTGTGGCCTCTTTGCGCTGGTGGTTGATAAATTGGTTGCGTACTCCGTTGTGGACCCCGTTTCTTATTATATCCTTTATTTCCGCCAACGGCACCACTTCCGCCTCGTCGAAATTCCATACCTGCTGTAATCATCATTTTTAATTAAAATTTCGTCGACTTCAATGTTTTATGTGTAAACGAGTATAAAAGATACAAGTAATACAAAATTTAATATCTAGAGACGAACGATTTGTTAGGGATATGGCACACAAAAAACTCAAGGCAGTAAAACGTAAGCAGTAAGGAAATCCAACATGTTGAATTGGTTACTGCTTACGTTATGACCTTACGTTATGTTATGACTTTACAGTGATTAGTCAATTCGCTTACTACTACTTACGTTTTACTTCTTAAGTTTTTTTGTATGCCATGGCCTTTACTCACCATTTATATGATTGTGACTCTGATCGTAACGTGGCTGTCGATTGTTAGAACGTTGATCTTGTCGTCTCGTCTCCGGAATACGATCTTGAATCTAAAATTATCACAATCATTGACGAGGAATATTATTAGCAACCATTAAATTTTACATTGTGCTATTTTACATACATCGTCTGTTATTGGTATACAATCCACCTGGAGTACTTCCTCATAATTTTCAAATCCCTTAAATTGCACTACGCAAGTTCTCTCAGAAACACCAGTGACTTCAGCATTATAATACTGTAAATATCATACAAAAACAATTAAATTATACGCAAAGTACACGAAAAAGATGAAACGACGCATGGTTCTGTGTAAGAGCAATTGACTTATAGTTAACAAATTCTTGGTTCGATTCCGATCGTCATCCCATGTAAACTTTGATTTTATATGAGATTGATTGAAAATTTCGAAAAGTATAAAAGATAAATGGCATAAGCATTTTGAAAACACATACTTTAATATAAAAAATGTTCATATAAAAAAAGATATATGATACGTACCCTATTATCTTCCCAATATTTAGCCATACACTTGTCACCTATTTGCCATACCCATGTACTGGTGATGTTAGGGTTACCATAATTGTTCTCGTTTCTTTGCACATTAGGATTCATGGACATCTTATTCCCAACATTACTATTCGACTGATATCTAGGTTGACTCTTAAAATTCTGTTCAGTTGTATTAGTTGAATATACTTTAGGAGTTCCATTTTGTTGAGCTCGATTATGCCTATTATAAGAAGCATCATAAGAATGCCTATTTTTGGCCTCAGGCTCGAGGTGATTATAGTTTCTGTTACTACCGAGATTCTTTCCCTGTAACTCAGCCTGGATTCTGTTATAGTTATCGTTACCACTATCGACGTTTGCGTTACTTGTGCGCGAATAAGCAAACGTATTTTTATAATCATTCGGCTGAGCAGACTTCTGATACGCTTCTCTACCTCCGTCGTGTTGATACTGATACTGAGGTTCCTGGTTACGTTGAAACCGCGGTGGTTTGTTCTGCGATGCGTGACTAGCACCGTTATATTGCAAATACATGGTGGAGTTACTATTATTTGTCTTCTTACTATTTCTATGTTCCTCTGAATATCTCGGAGGCGGTTGATAACCGCGACCACCTTTTTGATTCCTGTTAAAAAAGATCAATATTAGAAGTACAATATTTCATTAAATATTATAGGAGTTCGTTTATAGTAAGATAGTTATGTACCGTCCACCTCTTCCACTTTGTGCTTCAGTACCTCTCGATTCAAAACGATCCTGATTACTTTCATTATTTTGCATGTAATTACTTTGTGACAAATTAGTTGTTTCGACACTTTCGGGTTGCACAGGTAATTTATCCTCGAGAAAGTCAAATAGAGATATTTTTCCACTGCTAGGTTTACTCTCTTCGGCTTTCTTCTCCCGTTTACCACGTGGCTCTCGCGGTTCTCGAGATTCTTTGGCACTACTATAATAAGATTGTAATTAGATAATAATTGAATATATAGTTTGAGTGAAAAAAATAGGAAAGATAAAAATAAATTCTCTCACTTATGTTTAGTGTCGGTCCTTTGCAGACTTCTTAAAGCTTTATCTATGTTATTTCTATTAACTCTCAAAGCATATTCTGCCTGCTCTATGGTAAATCCACGATCCACGATTTTCTGTACGCTATGATCCAATAACTGTGGAAAGCGAACAAAATTAGATATTTAGACAAGAAAGAAGAATGCAAACATTTAATTTAATGGAACAATGTAAAGAAACAAGTCAAACCTGTTTATTTCCACCGCCAAATATTTTCTTACTGCCTTGCTTGGCAGCTTCCGCTATCGCATCTTTGCGCTGAGTTTCAAATTCAGTATTCTCTTTGCTAGGTTTTTCTTTTTCCGCCAGAGCTTTAAAATTCTTATCTTGCTCCGATAATTTTACAATTTTTTTACCAAATGGTATCCACGGTGGTGGTCCACCTTCTTCAGCAGATCTTACTCGAGTATGTGAAGCTAATTTCTATAACAAAAGCAGTCCTGTACTCGTGCGATATTCATTAAATAGAATTAACTATTATTATAATAAATATTAATGTCTCTTATCAAATAAAATGTGGATTACCTTATTTAATTCCCATTTTTCTACTAAATTGGCAACTTTTCCCCCAAGTACATAAACTAAATGCGATGGTCTCAGCAAAAGAAGTCCATGTGACACAGGTAAGGTTCCTGTCTTTATCAGTATCTTTGTACCAGGTGGTGTGTTTAAACTACCACATACAAAAAAGATGATTAGAAGAAATAATTGTAAGAAACGACACTAGAGAGTAATAGTTAATATTCAACCACTAGCACTACATTGAATTAGTACATGTTAAAGGTGGCTTTATATAAAAGTATCTAAATGCAGTGGCACAATATAATCAACTTTAACAACAAAATAATACTTGTATATTCTGTTAAGTAATGTGACAATATTATTATTAATAGTTAATTGTTTAAAATACATGTACTTATATACTTTTATATTTAACTTTGTTAATTTCATACATAGCAGCTTTTAATATGGACTAATCTAGCATAATACAAGTGATCAAATTTGCTATAAAAGAACTCAATCTAATACATTTACCTTAAAGTCGATATATGTTCAACTTCCAAAGCTTGAAAATTATTTTTTCCATCTGTCAATGATAATTTTAACATTCTTGGAGCTGCTCTTGATTCTTCATTTCCTTTGGGCGCAGCTACATTACGTATCTTTTGTATTTGCAACACAATATTGCCTTGATTAATATCTCCATTTCCACTTCCAATCTCTCTCAAGTCAAACTATAAATAATTCATTTTTTTTCTAGTTCATTCATATATCCTAAATAATCAACGCCATAGAGGTTCAAAGAATCGATACATACATCTAACAGTCGTTTTACTATCTTCTGTGTGTCTATCACACTACCCGAATCCGTTGCCAAATTATAACCATGATCAGATAAATACCTAATGAAAAGAGAAGTTATCAACATTGATGAAAAAATTGTGAATATTGGATAGACTTTAAACAATCATGGACATGGAAAAGGAATAGAGTAAACGACCACGTTCCGAATGTTAATGTTGCAACTGTTGGAAGTTCTCATACCGATTAGATAATACTTTTATCTAGAGGAATAGTCTCATCTCAACAACAACAAAATTTCCAACAAATACAAAATAAACATTCTACTAAATGCGGCCAATTTTTTTCCTTGTGAAACATCAGCAAGAAAGTGGAGTAGTACACCCTACTTACCATCCCAATGCCTCCAAGTTCTCCATATCTGCACTCAACTCACTCTCTTTGTTCGACAAAGATTTGATCGTGTCTCATAAAACTGACACCGCTACTGCGAATTCTTATTACGTGCTGTCCTGAGTTTGCGACGCGATCGCGCGTATACAAACATCTGACAGCTGACACGCGTTTCGAAAGTGCGACAGACTTACGGAGGAGGTTCTAGTTTTCCTCGAGTTCGACAACTCGGAGTTCGAGCACCTCTGAGTTTTCGCTGCGACCGTTTCTCGTAGGCACGATCTATTAACCGTGAGAAAAAGAGTCGCGCACTGGTGCAACGACTACGATCGCTCAAAGGAAAGAACCGCACCTATTCAACCTGAAAACACTCGTCGCCATCTTGCATACTCGAAGCAGCATGCGTTTCGACCATAGACGTAAAAAAATAACAGACCGAGCAGCGCGGCTTTGGCGCTTCGGTTTAAATTAGTAATTTTTCATTTTCATTATTAATTCAAATTAACTTAAGATTAAATTAAATTAATTTCAAAATGATACTGATATTAAATTAATCTTGTTTTCATTATTAATTTAAATTAACGACGAAAATAAAAGTATAAGAATACAATATAACAGTAATGACATAAAAAATTAGTTAAATTAGAAATATGGTCTCGCGGGATTTGTCTTTCAAAATTTATTACGTAGTTTATTCTAATTACTGAATCATCGATTTTATTGACTATCAATTGTATCAATTATCGATTCTATTGAATGTCAATATTTGATTTACGTTGTATCAGGATAAAGTTGACATCGTTTTCAAATTTTTTGAATTTTTTGTCGTGGAATGGAGATTGATCAAATCGAACGATATCACAAAGCGTTTAATTAATAAATGTAATTTGGAATTTTGATATTTAATAAAAGTATTCAGCGTTCACACATTAATCTGTTATTTCATGAAGTTCACGGATGGAAACCTTGTTGCGCAGAACAATTAACAAAGCAATAATCGTACTACATTTTGCGGATAATTATGGTTGATTTAAATTCAACATGTATAACGTTTATTCATTTACGTTACAACATGAATACGAACATAAAATGTATATTATTATTATTCAAAATGCGAAATGCGTGCGGAAGGTGCAGTCGGGAGCAACAGGTGTAGCATTGCCGCGGTGAGTGGCGTGCGAAGTTGGCCGCATGATTTTTCTCCCACCGAACTTCGCGTTATTCTTTCGTCGCGGTCTAATAAGTATAAGAATAAAATTAATAATAAAAATAAATAGTAAATAGATGCGTGTGCGATTAACATCAGGAATATCATGCAGAATGTTACGCTATCTATTAGATTCATAAAAAATGGAATTTTGTAAAATAAATAAATGCATTTTTACTAATGAAAAATTTACCGTATCGCATAAGCAGTAGTTCTATCAACTGAATTCCATGCAACTGTAGTGTTATTCGTATGAGTGGTATGAGACATTTTATATTATACGCAACTATTTAATTTGTCTTTTATACTAACAGATCATGAAGAATTGATGCCAATATTATCATATTCACTAATGAGTACTTGCAAATTGCATTGCTGCAAATGATGGCTCAGAATAGTATTTACAAGCTTTTACATCAAAGAATTTATGTCAAAGTATGTTTGCTAATGCCGACTGTATTGTAACTTTCGAGCCTTATAACTCGAAAAATACTTAATGAAAAAATATTTTATTATAGTGTTTTGAAAAGCTCTCGAGGTAAGCTACAAGAAAATTTAATAAAAAATGGGGGGGTTCCATTTAAAAAATTCAAAGTAGCTTTGCTCTCACTTTGACAATGCTACCCAAGGTCAAACAAATGGCACCATCCTATGCTCTCCTCAAAGTCATAAAACTTTTGTCTGAACATATTAGTCATTTGACACACACTTTCAGAGATAATAGCTTTTAACACTTTACTTGGGCCACCCTGTATATACTTTGATTATAAATCTTTTAAGGTTTTTTTTTATATATACTGATATTATTATAAGATTTATATTTACATTGATAAATTAAATGTATAACTTTTTTTCTACAGTAAATTTTAATAATAAAATAAATATATAATATATAAATACGTTTCGAAATTAAAATTATCTGTTTTTTATATTTTGACGTTTTATAAAAACATTTTTAAGATAATTTAAGATAATTTCTATGGATACAAATAATTTTCTTTTTACAAGTCAAATACGTATTATCTATAATAAAAATAATTTTGCGATTTATGTTACGAGTACTATTTTGAAAAAATAACTTGGAAATTATCTTGAGATATTACGGTGGATTGACTAAAACCTTTGAAAACTCTTGAATGATGATTGCTTCAATTAGAATCAACGGTTATTACCTGAGTGGAGCAGTCGCTAAATAAATTTCGAAATTACTGCCCTCGAATGCATACTAATTTTGAAGATGACGGATATTTGTGATATGCATGTAAATTACGACCTACAGTGAGTTACATAACATTTTGTGGTTTAATATTATATATTTTCGAATCATACAAAATTCTACAATATCGTAAACATTTTTAAAAATATAGATGAAAAGATAGGGGAGAGAAAGAGAAAAGAGAGTATACGTATAAAAGGTATATACTTAATAATTGATTTTAAAGAACAGCAATTATAAATTCGCAAAAGAATATTTTACATTAGGTTCTTTTTCTTTCGTTTAATTTAAACTCAGTAAGCCTATCCAAACTTAGCTTGCGAGCTAAATGCTCCCCATGCGTCGTTGAGCGAGACAGAGAGAAAACAAAGAATAGATACTACAAAGTTCTACCCAGTGATTGGTTGCTCTAGCGTGTCTATCCTTTTTTGTTTTCTATCTGTCTCGTTCAACGAGATGATAAAGAAGAGGGCGTTTAGCTAGCATGCTAAGTTTAAGAACAGTCGCTTTAAAATAATCCAGTTCGGTAATTAATTTATTAGAATTATTTTGTGATATTAGAGTAATAATTAGAACAATAATTAATCATTCCCGCACATCACCTTTCATTGCAAATATATATTAAATACGTATCTATATTGTATTTCATTTCATATCAAATATAATGTATTAAATACGTAATTAACGCAATGGATATGAAATATCCAAGTCGAAATACGTATGTAACATGTAGCAGATATATTGTGTGTATTCAAGTCGTAATAGGTATATAATACATATGGAATATGTAGCAGGTATATTGTGCATATTTAAATGTATGGATATCAAACATGTAGTTGATATCATATATGTATAACAGAATACCGAATATAATAATACGTCATAAAATGGCGTACCATAGTAGCACCACATAACATTAAAAAAAATCATAAACGGATAGTTTTGAGCAAATGTCTGTGTGCGTGGTTATTATAATCGGTTGTATCTAAGAATAACAACAATATTAAAGTATCCTATTAGACCGCGATGTGAACACACAACAGTCAAGAAATAGATTATTTCAGTCAAGCTTGAATTTTTAGTGCTGATTGAAGCCATTCGTGTGGAACAAATTTAGATTAAATAGTAAAAAATAATTTAAATTAAATAGTAAGACAAAAGTAAGTTCCCTGGCGGAAAAAATCTTAACAAAAAGTATAGAAAAATTACATAGATTGAGACAAGGTTTTAGAAATTCTTAATTTTTCCTAAATACATATTTGTAGTAGGATGTAGAGTGAGGTTTGTTTGTCTTAGAAATTCTTAGTTTTTCGTAGACATTCGTAGTGGGACATACGAGTACAATGTCGTGATTAATTTCACTTTTTGAATCTTGAAATTTTAGAGCCAAAGTATCAATCAAGTTGGCATTAAAATTTTTTTTAATTCAAAAAATAAAATCACACACTTTGGCCTGTAAATAGCTTATATAATACAGATACATGATACATTTTGAACGCGTATTTGCAATATTAGGAATACGTATGAAGTACATAATTTACGTATTTAATATGAAAAGAATATACAGGGTGTTTCCAAATTAAATGGCAAAACTTCGGGAGCGTGTAGAGGAGTAAAAAACTAAGAAAAAAAGTCC